AGAATGAGTAAGACTGAGTTTCTTAAAGTGGGACACAAAGCAGTGATGAGCCTTTAGAGGCAGAAATGCATAGTTATAAATGAATCTGAGATGTTCCCTAAGGGCTCACATTTTGAACCTCATTTCCCAGCTGGCTTATGAATTTTGAGAGACTATTCAATATTTAGGAGGGAGGACCTCATTGGCAGAAGGAGGTCAGTGTGGTGGATCCTTGAGGTATTGCATACCTACCAGTGACTCTTTTCGCCTCCTGATCTGTCAAAATGTGAACAGGTTCTGTGTAGGTTCCCGCTGTCACAGAAAGAGCAACCTCAGCAACTGTAACTTCCCCCACAAGGATGGACTTTTGGACCCTGAAACTGTGAGGCAGAACAAATCACCTTGTATTAAAAAATTAAAATAAATAATAAAAAACAACTGTATACTAGATGTGTTGAAGAACAGAGAGATTTCCTCAGAACTCTGGTGGCTGATGTCCAAGTTTAGGTGTCTAGCATGTTGTATTTCAGTGAGGTCTCTCCTGCCAGGTTGTGAAGAGCATGCTCTCACAGACTTTACTCTGTGAGCTCGTGTGGGCTTCCTCTCTATACACAAATTCCTTATGTTACCCTTTCCCATATTGCCATTGGTCCCATTAGATTACAGTTCTACACTGTCACCTCATTTACCCTTGCACATTAGCAAAAGCCCAGTAGTTTCATTGGGCATCGCATCTTCAACATTTGGAATTTCAGAATAAGCCACTGAGTCCTTAATATTCTTAATGTGGAACTAATGATGAGAAGGTACAAATGAAATAACATCAGATGGTTTTAAATATGGGATTCAGTACCTCAGTAGTACCTCAGTGGTAATATTCTCCAATAATTGGAGTTATAGTCATCATCTTCAGTGTTTTGAGACTGTGAGTCAGTTACCTTCTGTAATCTTGCTTTTTAAAAGATATTTCAAATGACTCAAATTGATTTTTTCACCCCTAGAATACATGTTCTACAAATTTATCATTTTGTAGATACTTTCTGAATTTGACTTTGATTCTGGTGATCTCAGTTTGTTGTAATATATGTTCTTCCTTTATTTTTCCTAGGGAGATGTCAACAGATACTTGTTTACTCCAGGGAAGGCACCCACAACAGAATGAATGAATATACTTGGGTCTAGTTTGGTGAACTATCTTAGAGTTTCTATTGCTGTGTAGAGACACCATGACCACAGCAACTCTTATAAAGGAAAACATTTAATTGATGTGGCAGCTTATAGTTCAGAGGTTTAGTTCATTATCATCATGGTGGCGAGCATGGCAGCTGGGGGTATGGCTGAGGGCAGGCAGACATGGTGCTGAAGTAGAAGCTGAGAGTACTACATCTTGACCCATAGGCAATCGGAAGTGGTCTAAAACACTGGGTGTGGCTTGAGCATATATGAGATCTCAAAGCCCACCCCCACAGTAACACACTTCCTCCAACAATTCCACACCCACTCCAACAAGCCACACCTCCTAATAGTGCCACTCCCTGTGAGATTATGGAGGCCAATTATATTCAAACTACCATATGAACCAGTGAGTTTATTGGTGTTGCTTGCTGGGTCATGGATAAGGATTACTTAGAAAAGCATGAATACAAAAAGGCAGCTTCATCCTTGAATGCCTGTCTCCCAGCAAGGGTGACAATTCATAAAAATTGTATCACTGCAGCTCCCTACACATCCTGAAGACAGCTAAAGCAATTCCCCCTCAGCAAGTACTTTACAAGTATTTAACATTTGCATGTTTAAGCCATTTCATAGCATAAACCAAACTAAAAGGTTAATAAGAGTATTACTTAGCTAAATAAACCCCACAAATAATTATTTGCAGGTAGTACAAGTTGGTGTCTGCAAAAGACAAAAGAATGTGCTTTAGGCACAAAAGTCCTTTCATACTTTTCTAAATAAGTGTTTTTGTAAAGGTTGATATTGACTGTCATCTTGATAGTATCTAGAATTACCTAGAAGACAAACATATAGGAAGGTCTAAGAGAGACATTCTAGATTCGGGTAATTAAGGTAGAGATACTCATCCTGTAAGTCACACCATTCAGTCAGTGAGGATCGAAGATATTGAGAGAGAGAGGGAGAGAGAGAGAGAGAGAGAGAGAGAGAGAGAGAATAAAAACTAGCTCAGTATCAGAATTCATTTATTTCTGCTTCCATGATTATAGATACAATATGTATACATGTGTGTTATGTATGTGTGCACATAATATGCTTACTCATTGCCTGAACCTCCTGCTGCCATCCTTTACCTTCCATAGCAGAGTCTCAAGGCATTTTGTCACATAAACTAAAAAAGCAATCATTGCAGCTTCTAGTGATTCAAACAAATAAAAATAACACCTACACATTCTTGTGTACACATTACCCAGGTATCAAATGTAATAAGAAACATGTACATTTTCACATAAACATTTCATACACTTTTAGGTGTTATCTCCACCAGGCTGTGTGTGCAGTTTCTTCTGATTTTTTCATATGATTTTGGTGGAAAGTATCCCTCTTGTAGGTCTTATGAGCCTGGCTACCATACCACAGTCTCTGATCCTGCACAAATGAAATAACATCACACCTGTGAGAGTTGTGAGGGGCACAGATGATCTCCTATAAACACTGCATAGCATTTTCATTACACCACAGACTCTGTTCCTGCATATAGGAAATATTATCACGCCTATAAGAGTTGTGAAGTGCACACATGCTCTTCTGTAAACACAGTATAACACCTTCCTCTTGTGACAGCCAAATACACATGCCCACTTTTTATAGCATTCATTTCTCATCAAATTACCACCAAAAAATAAACATAGAAAGAATATTCTCAACATTTATATTTTCAATGAATAAACTTAAACCCAGGAGTCTGAAGGGGCTTATTTGTCAAAATAACTATGAAGAAAGAATCTTACTTTTCAAAACATTCACAATGTTTGGTCTCACTGAAGATGCTGGCTACACTTAGCCATGCTCAGCTCTCACCCTTCTCATCTTCAACCCAGTTTATTTTAAACTGATACTTTGTTTGATTAAATGTATGTATTTTACTTTTATTTCAATATTAATAATATATGTGTACAATATTAATCACATGTTAGTTGTTTCTCAGTTACTCTAAATTTTGATTTCTGTAGTATTTGTTTGTTTTCCACCTTAGAAAAATAAAAAAGTCATGGTTACAAAAAGAAAAAGAAAAACATCACCTCTCCACTATAATAATTAATTAAGACACTCTCTTATACATGATTTGAAATTGATTAGCATAAAAATTACACTTCATACATTAAAAACTCCACAAAACAATATAATGTATTTCCTAGTGATAAATATATTTCATAGATTCTTGAATCTCACATTTAATAATGTAGGTAGAAAATGTAAAATTAATAAAATTATTATATTTTTTAATTTTATTTCAAATTATTATATATGTGAGTGTATGTGTAAGTATGTGTGTGTTTGTTTATGTGTATGACCCTCTCATAAAGGGGATGTAAAAATCAGAGGACAAGTTTTATGAGACTGATTCCATCTTCAGAAACTTCATGAAGGAAGAAGGAGAGGGCTCAGTGGAGTAAGGCAATTGCTCACTAATCCAAATTTTTTTAACATTTTTAAATTGATCATATTGAAATGGCAAATTAGCTTCTAAGTCTACATTTTATACATCTTTTCTTATCAGTGTTTTTTTTTTCTGTTGGAGAGATGGCTCAGCAGTTAAGAGCACTGGATTCTCTCCCAGAGGACTGTAGTCCAAATCCCAGCATCCACATGGCAGCTCACAACCACCTGTAACTCCAGTTCCAGAGGATCTGGCACCTTCACACAGATAAACACTCAGGCAAAACACCATTGTACATAAAAAGCATTGTTCTTCATTATAAAATTATTCTAATGCTGATATATAAGTCTTAAATTTCACATGCTTGTATACAGATATGTATCTCACATACTACTCATCAATCATTCTTAAATTCTTAAATCATTAAGAACTGATACAAAATTAAACTGGTATTAATGTTTATATTTAAGTTGTCAATATTCACGTTGTTCTCTGTATAGCAACACATTTCTTCATCTTTTCTGCCAAAACAATATCTGTTTTGAGAGTGCTTAATTTTACATATAATTTTATAAAATTAATAAAGTCACATGTAAGCAAAAAGCATTTGGAAATCACAAATATGCACATACAGGAATTTCTTACTGCTAGACATGCCCCTGCAGTCTCCATCTTGTTCAGGTGTGCTTCCTCATAGACTTGGGACTCCAGCCTGCAGTCTCTCCCTCCCGCCTCACAGCTCTCAGAAGAGCCCAATTCTCCCCACCACCTGAGAGCAGGCCTTCCCAAAGCACGAGACCTCAGAAGGAGATGTGCTTCAGACAGGACTAACTCACTAAGCCCTCTGTTCTTGCAGAGACCCCTTATCCAGCTATGTCATTGTGCCCTTTTAAAACCTGTTTCAGGCAGAAATAAATGCAAGTATAGTATCTCTAAGCCCTGTTAGATGATATTGGCTAATAGTAGACCCATTAAATCCTGGCCACTTTCTCTATCCCCCCTCCCTCCCACAAATAGAAAATAAAACTTTAAAAATAGAAAACCTGCTCTCCCTGAGAGGCTGGTATTTTGACCTTGTCTCTGCAGCCTGTCATGTTAACAAACCCCACTGCTCTGCCTGACTCTAATAAACTCTTTGCCTGAAAAATGACCCATCTCTTCCCCTCTCTCTCCATTCCTGGAGTCACCTCTAAAATGTAATACTTATGAACTGAGTACTCCCTAAAATCAAAATACATCTTAGAGAGCAGCCTGTTTCTCATCTTTATACCTTAGGCCAAAGAGCATGGAAAGAAGACCTATCTCACCTTCTTCTTCTCTAGAATCAGGACCCATGGATGGGCTGAGGGAAAAGCAAATCCCAGGGCTAGTAAAAACAAAATTATTGAACTTTTCTGCTTAAAGTTACTGTTACAAAACAGTAGGAAAAGCAACCAAAAGAAAGTGGCATACAGTGACAGGAAGGTGACCACCATTTTCAGGGCCTTTATGTGGGCTGTGGTGCTGGTGTCTCTGGAGCCTTTGACAATGAGCTGTCTGTTCTTCAGATGTCTCCACAGGAGGAAGATGAGCAAAAGGAAAGCAATCAGGGTCATGATGAAGGAGATGAGTGTGAACATAGTGTTGATTGTAGCTGGAGTTTTTTCTCCGGGTCCCACCAAGCCCCAGCAGTCTGACAGCCCACTTATAAAATAAACACACAGATGCTTATATTATTTAAACTGTTTGGCTTAATGGCTCAGGATTTTAGCTATCTAATTCTTACATCTTAAATTAATCCATTTCTATAAATCTATACCTTGCCATGTGGCTCATGGCTTACCAGCATCTTCACATACTGCTTGTCATGGTGGCGGCTGGCAGTGTCTCTGCCAAATGTAGATGTAACCAACCGTCTTATTAAATAAGAAACACAGAGCCAATACAGAGATAAAAGCCAAGAGGTAAGAGCTAAAAACCTTACCCTTCACTCTCGTGGTGGTCCTACCTAACCAAAAGAGACCTGCTTCCTGTGTGTCTGTCTTTATAAAGACTTTCTGTTCTGCCTTCTCATTGGTTGTAAACCCAATCACATGACCACCTTGTTACTGCCTGTCTGTACAGACCTCCAGGTCTTCTATGGTTGGTATTGAGATTAAAGGTGTGTGTCTCCATGCTGGCTGTATCCTTGAACACACAGAGATCTACCTAGCTCTGCCTACCAAGTACTGGGATTAAAGGCATGCACTACCACCGCCCAGCTTTTGCTATGGCTTGCTAATAGCTCTGACCCCCGGGGAACTTTATTTATTAACATGCAAATCACATTTCAGTACAAATAAAATGTCACTATAGTTGGTGAATTAAATAAGCCTAGAAATTGACTAAAATTGGTTGAATAGCACTATAGGACATATTGGCTTTGTGTCCATCAATCCAGACACAAATATGCCCATTTATGACTGAAATGTTCAAAGACAAAAGAAGCAGAGATGCCAGCAATGTCGTTGTAACAACTTTTTTAACTCTCTACTTTAGGTGAAGAAAATTAAGAGTTTGAAAAATTGGCTATCATGAGAAAATAAAAGATGCCAGGCATTCAGCAAACCAGATGCTGAAATGATTGGTCACCGTCCAGAAAATATTGATTATTCTCACCACTTTTCCAATTATCAGTAAGTATGGGTAAAGACTGAGTAGTGTGACCAGAGCAGAGAAATTCTAGAGATGGCCAGAACAGTGAGGATTTGAACCACTGTAGAGATCTTTCTTCTCTTGATCCAGTCCACAATGTTCACTAGAGCCACAAATACATTTCTTAACTTTTCTCTTATTGATTCTATGCTTAAAATGACAGTCAACATGAACTGTAGGAAATCACACATTGTCAACGTGATGTTCCAGTTTCCTTTTACACTACTGTAGATATGTTAATATAATCTTTTAAAGTCTAGATGTATCTGATTCTTGAAAATCCATAACACATTCACTTTTAAGAACTTCCATATATAATGTCAACCAAACACCAAGATTCATTAGTGAAATAGTTTGTGTATTTCTCCATAAATATTTTCATAGTCTAAGGCAGACCAGTTGAAGTTCATGCAGATGCTGTGTGCATTACATGTAAGCTGAAGTCTTTTTTAATTGTTGAAAAAACCACAGGATTCTAATGTGCTGTCATCAAAATAAAGATGCACATACCTGCATTGTTTCTCTACTTTTGTCTTTTACATATTTTCATCTGACTTCTGGACAAGTAACATTTGGAAGTTGTAACTCAGCAAACAAAATGCAGAAGAATTTCATTAAATACATCAATATTAGTTCTGTATAGGGAGTTTGTATATTATTCAAAGATCTTCCAACAAACTACCTAATAATTTCCTAGACATCTTCATTTCTCAAATACTTGCTACTAAGAATTCTAATCATTTTACTTTTTACATGGCCCTGCATACACATATCCAAATATCCACCAACACAGAAACAAACACTTATTTAGATTGAAATCTTCTTCACTCTTCACCTCAAATAACATAGCTTTGTTTTTTACTCAGCATTTATTGTGCATCTAACTCGCGTGATGGCTCTCAAGACACTGTATATAATTACATTAAAACATAAGTGATTATGGTGATATTTTGTTGTACTCTAATGAAATTTACTGAAGATCAGAGGAAAGAGCCACACACTAGATTAAACACAGAGGTCAGCAGTGGTGGCAAACAACTTTAATCTTGGCACTCAGAAGACAGAGATCAGTCTGGATCGCTGTGAGTTCAAGGCCACACTGGGCTACATGAGATTGAGCCTGTCTAGGAGAGAAAGAGAACCAGACCGTGGTAGCACACACCTTTAACCCCAGTATTTGGGAAGCACACATGCCATTAATCCCTACACTAGGAAGGTTGAGATGAGAAGTGAAATGGCTGGGCAGAGAAAGGCATATAAGGCATGAGGAGACAGGAATTAGAAGTTCTTTTGGTTAAAGACTCAGAGGAATTCAGTCTCAGGATTTGCCGAGACAGGATCAGCTGAGGAGTTGGTGAGATGAGAAGTGGCTGTGGCTTGTTTCCTCTGGTCTTTCAGCATTTACCCCAATATCTAGCTCCAGATTTTTATTGTAAGACCTTTCAAAATCCATATAACACTAGGTACAGTGTATTATGTGTACATGTATTATATAAACCTATGATTCTGTAATCTGTGTATGTAAACAACTTTGAAGTCTTCCTATTGTGCTATAAAACAAAGAGCTTAAATGAATTCATCTGCACACCAATAATCCTTTCCATTCTCTATGTCTTTTTGCTTGAACATGTACTTCCCACTTCAGCACCAAGAGCTGAAGGTATTGATTATTTCCTATCACTTTGCACCAACATCGACTCCATTTACATTCACTACAGGCATCAAGGCAGGTAAAGGATAATGCATTACCTAGACAAGAAGGACATGAAATATGACATTAGATTGTTCAAGAGCTAAGGGTCATCAGAAAATCAAAGACACAAGTGCAACAAAAGTAACAAACAGAACATAAAAGTAGTTATCAAAGACTTCAGTAAAACTGGTGTGGTGGTGGTACACACTGGTAAACCAAGCCCACCAGTGAAGAGGTAGACACAGGATATTAACCATCCAAAGCCAGCCTGTGATATAAATGAGATATTATCTAAAAGCACAAATTTTTAGATACAGTGGGGAAAGACATGGAATAATTTCAGTGTGAAGAAGGGAATACAATCTCATAATCCTGGAGGAAATGTTCAACATTGAGGGGACAGATACAGTGGGAAGGTAAATTAGTCCACCTGTTAAGAATTAAGGGAATTATAACCATAACATCATCGCAGAGACAGGAAGGTCCTCCTGACATGGCTCCTTACTTAATGAAAAAAAAAAAAAAAACTAGGGAGGCAAGGAGGAATGCAAAACACCCTGGAGAGGGTTTGTGTGGAATGGGTGCTGCAGCAGGAACATCAAGGTCTTTCTGAGAAGTGACAAACTTTAACCAATGAGACGCACCCTGAGGAGCTTCCCTGTATCCTTTCTCTGCACCTTAGGCCCCTTATAGAAGCTGTAAGTTTCACCTCAACGGTGATTCCAGAACAGACACAATTCCACTCTTACCTTTGGCAGCTATTGGCTGACTGCCAGCTTCCAAGAGACGGGAAGAGAGTTTTCTCTAAGAGTGTAGCTCCTGGTAATTTGACTATGATCCAGTAAAAACCACATATCTGGGACTATTCGGGTGGTGCAAAATGGTCTTGAAGGAGATTTTAAAAAGATAAAAGGGAAATAAAGGGTGGTGGGGAAGAGGGGTAGATTTGGGGAAGAGTTGGAGGAAGAAACGAATATGATCAAAACATGGTATGCTTTGTTCTTAAAGAACTAATTTTTCAAAAATTTAAAAAAAGAGTTAAGCTGCTATATGAGGAATGGTAGTTTTGTATGTAGGATATGGCCCAAGGGATCTGATGATACCAAAATATATCACACACAGGGAGCAGTTAACTCGGTAATTTTCCTGCTTTTTTTTTCAGAGTTTTTTATTTTATTTTACAATATAATTTAGTTCTACATATCAGCCATGGATTCCCTTGTTTTCCCCCCTCCCGCCCCCCTCTTCTTCCCCCCAGCCCACCCCCCATTCCCACCTCCTCCAGGGCAAAGTCTCCCCCAAGGACTGAGATAAACCTGGTAGACTCAGTCCAGGCAGGTCCAGTCCCCTCCTCCCAGGCTGAGCCAAGTGTCCCTGCATAAGCCCCAGGGTTCAAACAGCCAGCTCATGCACTGAGCACAGGACCCGGTCCCACTGCCTGGATGCCTCCCAAACAGATCAAGCCAATCAACTGTCTCACCTATTCAGAGAGTCTGATCCAGTTGGGGGCCCCTCAGCCATTGGTTCATAGTTCATGTGTTTCCATTCATTTGGCTATTTGTCCCTGTGCTTTATCCAAACTTGGTCTCAATAATTCTCACTCATAAAAACCCTCATCTTTCTCGCTAATTGGACTCCCAGAGCTCCACCTGGGGCCTAGCCATGGATCTCCACAATTTTCCTGCTTTTCTGTATGACAGTTTCTACATTTTTATTTAACACTCCAAATGGTATTATTTTCTCAGCATTTTTACAAGAAGAAATATTTTGGATATATTGTGGTGTTGATATATAAACAACATATAAACCCTCAAATAATGTTTAAGTCAACTGAAATTTAAATTTTCAGTGAAATTCATTTCTGTCACTGATAGCTTCCTGACATTACTCTCTGTCTCAGAGCACCAAATTGGTATCTGAACATATCCATCTCCACATCCAAACAAATCAACTCCCTTACCCTAATTGTTGTGTTTTAATATTTAAATGCTTTATCCTCAAGCACAAAGAAACCTTTGTGTAAAGTCTCCAACTGTGTTTACTTACACAATTCTCTGATAAGATGCACATCATCAATTCTGTGCCTCTTATGTGTGCCTACCTATTTAGCGTAGATATTGGTTGGGATAGTGTGTAATTTTAATTCAATATGACAGTTGGTCTAAGGTTATGCAAAGGGATCTGCATTTTGCTACCTCCAGCTATAATAAATGTCTCTTGTCTAGAAGAGGTGCTTCTTAAATATTAGATATAATCATATCTGACTCTGCATGACAAATTATGAAATAAATTTAAAGTATAAAATATATAAATGATATTTTAATGTAATTAATGTATTTCTTATTTTCTTCACAATAGGCAATGAAACATTAAATTATATTAATATTGTTTTAAAAAAAGAGTTCAGAGCCTCAGGAATTCTAAACCTCCTTGGTGAAAATCAACCACAGGAATATTTCAAATGTGGTGATGAATGACTGTTCATGAATTTATCTTGTGATGTTCTAAAGATCTGTATCTAGATATATACAAGAAAACATTTCCCTGGGAAGGTAAATGGTCATACTCTCTTAGACTTCCAGGAATGGAATCTAAAATTATATGATGGAGACTCAAAAGAGCTTGTGCTCCATGGAGAAATTAAATTTCTGTATGCCAATGGTCTTGAGAATTTTGGCTCATGTAAACCACCGAAAATCTAGTGGATTTGTGTTAATCTGATACTGAATACATAATGGAAATTCATAAATGTAGCAGTTGACCAAATACAATCATCCTTCTTCTTGTCCTGTGCAATGAGGGACACTATTGCAAGCAAGACTAAGGGCAGGCTTCCAGATCTCTTCTTACTCCTGGTAGACAATGACTAAATAGTAATACCCACATTCTCCTGCAAAGAAAGTAATTACTATGGCAAATTACAAATACCTTGTGTCCTTTCCCATTCACTATTAAATAAATATATTTTGATTCCACCATAGACAGGTGGAATAGAGGGTGAATGGAGATTGCTGTATACTTACTCTGAACCAGCAAGTGCTTCTTGAGACACAGAATCTTTACTTGGAATGAGAATATCACCTCTAAATCATTTTTCATGTGGCTATAATTTTCAGTTGTATTATAATATTGAGGAATATCAAATAGTTGAGCTTTTATTTAATAAGGACTGTAGCTCACCTCACAGTTGCATGTTAGGGTGTTCCAAGCTAGCAGTTTGATATTTTGTAATATTTTAATTCACCATGTTAATTTTATAATAACTATTATTGATAAATGGGAAAGTATAAATCCTTAAATGATAGAAAAGGAAGCAGTCAATCAAGTGAGTAGGAAGCCCACAGAGTAGCATAGAATCTTTTCCAACTATATGTCTGATAGAGGATTAGTATCTAGAAAATATAATGAACTCAAAAAGAACAAAGAATCAAGAAAATAAGTGACCCAATTTAAAAATGAGCTATGTATCTGAACAGAAAATTCTCAGAAGACATAAAATGACTAATAAATGTCTCAAAATGTTTAGCAACCCTAGTAATTAGGAAAATGCAAATTAAAACTACTTTGAGATTTCCTCTGACCCCAGTCAGAATAGCTGAGATCAAGAAAACAACAGATAACAATTGTTGGCATACAAGTGACAGGGCTGAGCAGTAGTATAGCTACTATAGAAATCATTGTGAAGAATTCTCAAAGGCTAAAATAGATACACCCTATGGCCCAGTTATACCACTCCTTCTCATATGACCAAAGTACTAAACATCCTACTCAACAAATACTTGCTCAACAATGTTTATTCATAATTGTTGAATACTGGAAACAA